AATCTCCTGCTCAGAACTTCCGCTTCATAACATCATCCTTTTATTGTGACAGACTTAATCTCAGATGTTTAGCGATGTTTGCGGTGTTGCCAAAGTATTTCACTGTCTTTGCACACACATCACACACAGCGTCATTATTACCTTCACAGCTAAAATCCAACCAGACGTGACTGTTTCTACTGTCGGCCAGAGTCACTATTCAATCGCGGAAAATATAAAGGGCTGCAGCGGCTCACTTCAAAGAAGCTCCGTCACAGAGCCGTAGCGTAAGCATGACAGGCGGAAGGAAAAGTAGTTCCTATGAACAGAGTATAATTAGACCATCCTGGGTACCGTAAGATACTTATGATAAAACACACACTCACTCCAAATGACTGAGTTTAGATATCGATCCTTTTATATGAGTATCGATCCTAGAGCAGGAAACGTTGGTATCAGAAATAGATACTTTAGGATCGATCCGCACATCACTAGCAGAGTCTACAGCCTGATGATAAACAGTCCCGGGCCCGTTTAATACCGCGTTTCAGTGCTATCAATAAATAAGTTTTCTTCCAGTCCGGCGTGTTTCAGGTTAAATCAGATTTGACGCTCTAGACATAATGTTACATTATAGGACCCACTGGTCTGGATAGCAGTATCGATAAGCTCAGACTTTCTTGATTTTTGGGTTTTAAGAAATTTTGGAACCGGGTATCGATCCCCATCCCTAGATTTGAGCATGTACTATGAAGTTTTGTTGGCTTCCTGTGTTACGGCGTAGCATGGAATTTTGCTGCCCCGCCATGTATATGCCGTTGAAGAAAAACTTGCACACTTTATAACAAGTGCTGCATTTGATACCATTGACCATCAGATCCTATTGCAGAGACTGGAACATTTCATTGGCATTTAAGGAACCGCTCTAAGCTGGTTTAAGTCCTATTTATCAGATCGATTTCAGTTTGTACATGTTAACGATGAGTCCTCCATGCACGCCAAAGTTAGTCATGGAGATATTGTGTAGTCCCCCCCCCCCCCCTTCACCCCAACCGGTCGAGGCAGATGGCCGCCCACCCTGAGCCATGGTTCTGCTCGAGGTTTCTGCCTCTTAAAAGGAAGTTTTTCCTTGCCTCTGTCTCCTAGTGCTGCTCTTGATGGGAACTGTTGGGCTTCTGTAAATAGCATCACAGAGTACGGTCTAGACCTGCTCTTTATGAAAAGCACTGTGAGATAACTGTGATTTGGTGCTATATAAATAAAATTTAATTGAACATGACATCATCAATGTTAAGGGTTTTCTGAGGTAGTTTTGAAGTAGATGAACCTGCAAGAAGTGCTTCATAACAGCATAGAAGTAGTTACTTCCACTTTCAGGTGGTGCTATGACTATGAGATGTGTTCAGGGTGGGACGCTTATCAACCATGTAAATTTGGTGCAGATGTGAGCATACTGAAGTTGCAACAACTTCCTGTTTCATGGCAAATCATCGATTTTGGACTCCACACTCCACATGCCGTTCCACGAAAATTCAGTTTGTTCAACTTTTAATCTTCATTGTATAATTTGGTGCAGATTTAATCATGTACAGTCAAGTTACACCAACTTCCTCTGTCATGGCAAAGCATGGAACCTTGATGCCACGCCGTTAACTGCAAAATCACAAGTTTTACAACATGGCTTCATCAATGTGTTAAGGGTTTTCTGGGACAGTTTTGAAGTTGATATGGCCAACCTGCTAGGAGTAGTACATTACAGCGTAAAACAAGCCATTACCTGTTGCCAGCAGGTGGCGCTATGACTTTGAGTTAATATTGGCATATGGGTCTTTTCGGGACGGGACAGGGTGATTGTCAGGGTTCACTCAAAGAGACTTTTTTACAACTACAAGATACAAGATAGTATCTCATGGCCTAAAGATAAGTGTTTAATGGAGCAGCTTTTCTCCACAAAGCAGAGAGTGCACAATCCCTGCTCCAGCTACCACCTACTTAAAGCACTTCTCGGGTGATAACTATGGATAGAGACTATTTAATTTACTTTTATATAAACTTAGGGGTGAGTAATGCTATGGCATAATTTGCTGTGCATATAAATAAATGTATGTTGTTTCATTTTTATAGTGTTACTATATTTGAATAAATGTTTAATTATCTGTAAAGTTATGTGTGTGACACGAGCAAGGTGCTAACTATGGTGGAGCTTGGCTCCTCTTAATAAGACAGGAGCTCCCCTAACCATAATTTGTGACATTTTGGGGGGTCTCTAAACTTTTGACATTATGCTATTTTTGCCATTCATTTCTATTTTTCTGTATCACAGATGATGCTTAAAATCAGGAATTTCTGGCTTTATCCAGCCAAAGAGAGTGATCAGCGGCCTCCTGTCCCTCGCACTGTCCACTCAGCACAGCGTTGTGCTCCTTCTCTGGTCGACCTACTATAGGTTGTGTTACTAGTCCGGTGTGCTGCAACGTTCGATGATCATTCCCTTTGGCTGGATGAAGCCAGACCACCTGATTTTAGGCATAATTCATGATGATACAGAAAAATAGAAATGAATGGCTGCAGTACCACTGCAGCTAGAGGCTCTCGGCAGCGCCACGAAACTTTCTAAATTCTTTCATCCCTCAGAGAAAATGAAGATCTAGTCAAAACTGTAGCAAAACGGCTTTAATAATAGTATAAACCATGCCTGATAATTTCACATTTAGCACTGTGCCTGTTTTTGCAGCTATGTATGTTTACTTACAGCAAGAGTCAGATGCACAAAAGGAATTTAAATTGAACTGCAGTTAAAAAGCTATGGTATGGTATGTGCTGTCATCCAAGATGTGTGCACCCAGTCAGGCAAGAGAGCTTTAGCTCGTGCGCTTGTGCCAGATATTAATTGTTGTGGAAATTATATTCCTGGTGAGGGGCTGAGCAAATAATTGAGTTACAACAAACCGTTGTCTTTGAAGAATTTATTTAACAAAAGAGAATAAACAGAGAAGTACTACAACACAAATCAGCTGGACCAGAAGTTCTGTCTACTAAGACAGTCACTAACGTCTGGCCATGAGCAAAGGGATGCATCATCATTTACACAGTCTAGGTTTCTATGTTTTGGGGAACAGAGATCCTCTCTCGGCTTTGAATGAACATTCCAGGAGAGGAGAGGAACAACAAGACAGCAATCTCACAGCTCTGACCTAAACCCTAGTAAATGTTGATGGACTGACATAAGAAGTATAGGAGAGGAAAGATTAAGGATAAAACACAATACATAATGATGATAATAATAATAGTAAAAGAACATACATAAAAGATTAAATGTAAGAGGACACAATTTTCTGCCATAACATTAATAAGCTGTGCAGATGCAAAAATTTAGATGATGAGGGAAATACCTTTTGAATGTCAGGTTTGGTTGTAGGCTACTGCTAATGTTACTCAATCCAGCAACAGAAAGCAGCCTATCACCCTTTCACAAGCTGGCAGAAATTCTTTCACTTTCCATTAATGGCGTATTAAAGCCCATTTAGTCTGCGGAACAAATGTAGACACTGTACATCTATTGTTTCTGATATTTTAACAGAATCCTCTCTTTGCGCATAGCATGACTTTCTTTTTATATCTTCTCTAATTCTCATTTTGCTCTTTGTTAAATGTCCGATGTTGTACTTATTAGATAGAATGTCTCCGGTGAAAATGATAAAGAAAATAAAAAGAAATAAGCATGTAATTCAATACATTTCTTTCTTTTCTGAGAAGTTAAATAAACTAATTATTAATTTTTAATGATCATTAGACCTCCGCTCTCTGTCGGTGCTGAAACATTCTACAATAGATAGGATGAAAGGCGTTTTCACTGCTCTGTCTAAGTCATGCATTACATGCAAACATTAGTCTTTGAGAATGTGAGCAAAGTTATATGCCTGTTAAAACAGTTTTCAATAGCATAGTAGGTCCGTGACATTGTGTCACATTACCATTCCTTGGCTTATGCTGAAACTACAAACATGTTGGAAAAAGTTTTCAATCAAGAAAGTAAATTCAAACATTTTTTTAACAAGTTCCATTTGTTTCATGTGTCCTTGTCATGGTCATGCAATGGGCTAGTTTGTATTTAACACATCCTGAAGTTTGCCATGTCAAAGCTTTTCAGTTTAGAAGAATATACAGTTTAACAATTGGAGTCACTGTCGAGATGATTAAAACACTTGTTTCTTTCTTTTACAATAAATTATATAAAGCTGGGACAAGTTACACACACACACACACACACACACACAACTTCAAATGCGATTTTGTTGGATTTCTTGTATTGTCTTCCTAAATATAGGGCTGGTAATGTTATGGAAGTAGCCTAAAGTAAAATACAGTTATTGTTCCACTGAAGACACTTCGAATGTACAAACAAAAGAAAAATAAACTGGTCTGAATGAAAAAACAGAAACCCAGTAGCTACTACTCCTGCATACACAGGGCAATGATGCAGAAATTAGTACAAATATAACAGAAATGCAGCCCAAATATAGCACAACATTGCACAAAAAATACGGCAGTGGCACCTCTATTAACAGGACAGAAAAACATTGGCAACACTGCCCAGAAAAATCACTATAGGCTACATTACTTGTGCTAACTTGTCAAACATTTAAACTCAGTCATGGAATAAAGGAAACAAAATGTTTCCATACAAAGATAAATACATTAATTATACAAATTAAAATACAACAGTCATCAGGTTTCTTCCATTTCATACCAAAGTCACGGATAACGAGCTCGGCATTTCTGTACATTCGTAACTCTAATATTAAAAAATATTGAGAGAGAGATTTTTGTATGCAACAAAAAACCATATATTTCACTTTATATGTAATTAAGCACCTGTATGTGTTGGCAAAGACTGTCTGTGTCTGGCGTATCATTTTACATTCAGTTAAACATATTTGATTCCATTGTAAAAGATGTAATCAGTCAGACCCTGACACTTTGAACTCGCTTCTCTTCCTGTCCACCGTGTTCCCTTGCAGAGATGAGCTTGTGTGTGCTGGATGAGGAGAGCTTCCGTTGCTGCTGTCAGCTCTTCCTGCAGCAGTCTGAGCAGCTGAGAGATGGCTGGAGCTGGGAAGCAGTCCAGGTGAGAAGGTCTGTACTGTTATGTCAGCAGCATGGCTTAAAAGCCTGCTATGGACCCATGAATGCGGTTAATGGTAGTTCCTGATCTGTGTTCAGGGTTCAGAGGAGGGCTACCTGAGGAAGGCCACTCTCAGGTCAGTCGTCATTGACTCGAGCCCATTGTGGGACCAGGAAGGATCAAGTTCAGACTCAGAGCCACACGCTTCCTCTCAATCCTGGCCTGATCAGCAGGGACAGGACAAGGAACAGGTGAAAGACTGTTCAACTTCATCATGTGCTTTATTTTCCATCTGTGCCTTACTAAATATCACTGAATGTCAGGAATTAGTCAGTACAATTTTTTTTCCAGTTGTTTTAAAATGAACCTTTTTTTTTTAAATTAATGATGGACACTGTAATAACTGATGGGCTTCCTGTTTGGAGCAGTCACAGATAGCATAGACAACATGTATTCTTCCATTCACCACTGTCTCTCCTCCTCCACAGTCTGTTCGTGTTGCCCTAGCTGATGCTGACTGCATCAAAGATGACATGGATGATGACCGTGATGAAGATGATGGGTTCTGTACGGCGTCTGAAGGCAGTGGCCAGGTGCTTCAGTACGAGTACCACATCCTGTACTCTTGCAGCTACAGTGCCCCTGTGCTCTATTTTAGAGCCTCCACCCTGGGTTAGTTCACTGGGACACAGTTACTGCGTGCACACTGTGCCCTGTGAACATGTACAGTATATTTAATATTTACAGATGTTATCAGGGCAGCTGTGGCTCAGGCTCAAGGGGTAGAGCGTTTGTCCACTTAGAAGGTTGGTGGTTAGATCCCCAGCTCCTCCAGTTTGCATGTCGAAGTATCCTTGAGCAAGATACTGACTAGCTCCCTGACCTTGGCCTAGGCCTGTACCTAGACCTCTTTGTCTCTATTAACCATTGAGCAACTAGACTCTAGCAATATTGGAAATAATAATATTGATAAGAATGACAATAATAGGGACTTATTCATATATATTCATATATTACTGCTAGAAAGAATTTCTGCCCTTGTAAAACCAAAACAGAATTAAGAAACGCACATATCGACTACAACAGGTGATATTAAGTTAGCAGAAACAACGCAAAAGATGGTGTCCCAATATAGGACATAATAAATGATGTAAAGACGAAGAACACCACCATATGAAGTGGACTGGGAAAAGTAGTAGTGAAATATCAACATGTAGAGTTCAGAAGTGTTCGTGGTGCACTGTTAAAGGTTAAGTGTTTTTATTAGGCTCAGTCAAAATCTTATTGATTTCTTCTGAAAATGCAGTTGAAGTGACCGTCTGTACATGTTTGCATATTTCAACCATGTCCATATTTCATGAAGATGCCCTTGCTGTATCTTCTTCCTCATGTGTCACCATGTAAGAGGGGAGGAGCCTGTCACTGGAGGAGGTGTGGAGCTCTGTTCATCCAAACTTCAGGCTTCGACTGCAGAAGAGTCCTCTGAATACAATCACTCTGCAGGTAAACCCTGGGAAGATGCAGCCACCAGCCTTGTTATCACCATCTTCCTGCTTGAACAACACATTCTCACTCCCAATTCATAACATATGGACACATGGTGAAGACCAGTCAAGCCATCAATTTATAACGCAGTGGGGGAAGCCTTGTATCGTCATTTTTGAATAGGAGGATTAGGAGGATCTATCGAAAGAAATGCAAGATCCATAACTGTATTTTCAGAGGTGTATAAAGACCTTACATAGCGAACTGTTATGTTTTTATTACCTTAGAATGAGCCATTCTACATACACTGCGGGTCCTCTTACATGGACGTCACCATGCCGCCATGTTTCTACAGTAGCCAAAACTGACCAACTGTTCCACAGAGCGCATTTCGTCACTGCATTGAATATGTACGAAGAAGAAGAAGTAACGTTAGTAGTAGTAGTAGTCGTCTTGTTTATTAGAAGTAAGAAGAGAAGTGAATTTTGGACAATTGGAGGACCACATGTGTTATTTAGCCCAGGAGTCGACAGCATGTTGTCCACCGTAGCTTCTCCTGCATGCTTGGAAAGGGAGGAGTAAGTTGTGAGTGTTGGTGCATTCCTGTGGTGTCGGAATGATCAGAATATTTTGTTCCTCCTTAAATCTTTATTGCAGAAAGAGAAATAAAGGGTACATGGGACATAAAGATGCATACAGAACTTTGCACTTCATGCTAAATCACGTATTGCATATACATATTTTGCAAACATGTAATTGGATGTCTGCGTGTGGTTTATACGCTCTGACAATGCTAATCTAACACATCTTTATAGTAGCATCCATGTTGATTCCACATTCCAACTTAAGAGCACATGAACACACTGAAGTCGGAGGAACAACTTCACTACTCGGGAAACGTGACCGTCCAAGGAGCAAATGAATGCACTGAGCCGCCAGTTGCAATTTGCAACCCTCACCACTAGATGCACTAAAACTTACACACTGAACCTTTAAGCTATTTTAACCCAAACCATGATCTTTTCCTAAACCTAACCAAGTACTTTTGGTGTCTAAATCCAACCAATTGGTTTTTGTAAATGTTACCGGATATTGCATATTTATTCTTACTAACTAGCCCTACATGTCCAAGTGATGCCAAAGGGTACCCAGGGCTGAGGGGTCTTGACCAAGCATCATGTACAGTCCCCTCCAAATGTATTGGAACGGTAAGGCAAATTCCTTTATTTTTGTTGTTCACTGAAGACATTTGGGTTTCAAAAGTATGAGTATGAGACAAGAGTTCAGAATTTCAGCTAACATTTCCTGGTATTCACATCTAGATGTGTTAAACAACTCAGGACATATCACCGTTTGTATTAGACCACAGCATTCTTAGGTGAGCAAAAGTATTGGAACAAATAATCTTAAAGTAAATAACATTTAATATTTGGTGGCAGAACCCTTGCTTGCAATAACTGCCTCAAGCCTGAGACCCATCGACATCACCAAACTGTTGCATTCTTCATTTGTGATGCTATTCCAGGCTTTTACCGCAGCTTCTTTCAGTTCTTGTTTGTTTCGGGGTGTTTCTCCCTTCAGTCTCCTCTTAAGGAAGTGAAATGCATGCTCTATTGGGTTAAGGTCAGCTGATTGACTTGGCCAGTCTAAAACCTTCCACTTTTTCCCTGATGAAGTCCTTTGTTTTGTTGGCAGTGTGCTTTGGGTCATTGTCCTGCTGCATGATAAACGTCCTTCCCATTAGTTTCAATGCATTTCTCCGTAAATTGGCAGACAAAATGTTTCTGTCCTCTTCTGAATTCATTCTGCTGCTACCATCATCAGTTACATCATCAACGAATATTAATGAGCCTGTTCCAGAAGCAGCCATGCTCGCCCAAGCCATGACATGACCTCCACCATGCTTCACAGATGAGCTTGTATGCCTTGGTTAATAAGCAGTTCCTTTCTTTCTCCACACTTTGGTCTTTCCATCACTTTGCTAGAGATTAATCTTGGGCTCATCAGTCCATAAGATTGTGTTCCAGAACTTTTGCGTCTCATCTCTGTACTTCTTTGCAAATTTCAATCTGGCCTTCCGATTCTTGCTGCTGATGAGTGGTTTGCATCTTGTGGTGTGGCCTCTATATTTCTGCTCTCTGAGTCTTCTTCCAACAGTGGATTGTGATACCTTCACCCCTGCACTGTGGAGGTCGTTGGTGATGTAACTTACTGATGTTTTGGGGGTTTTCTTCACAGCTCTCACCATATTTCTGTCATCAACTACTGTTGTTTTCCTTGGCCGACCTGTTGGACGTCTGTTGCTCAGTACTCCAGTAGTTTCTTTCTTTTTCAGGACATTCCAAATTGTTGTGCTTGCTATGCCCAGTATTTGTCCAATGGCTCTGGGCGATTTTCCTTCTTTTCTCAGCTTGACAGTGGCTTGCTTTTCTCCCATAGACAGCTCTCTGGTCTTCATGTTGGTTTATCCTCTTCAACAGGAAATGCTGTCTTTATAGGTTTGAACCAGGGATGAAAACTTAGACTAGTCATGCAGAGCTATTTAATGTTTGGACAATCAACCTAAAAGGCAACACCTGGGCAACAAGAAACATCTGTCAGTCACATGTTCCAATAGTTTTGCTCACTTGAAAAATGGGTGGGTTCAAACAAAGGGAGGTATGTCCTGAGTTGTTTAACACATCTAGATGTGAATACCAGGAAATGTTAGCTGAAATTCTGAACTCTTGTCTCATACTCATCTTTTGATCTGAAACCCAAATGTCTTCAGTGAACAACAAAAACAAAAGAGTTTGCCTTACCGTTCCAATACTTTTGGTGGGGACTGTATGACGAGTTGGGAGTGAGAATGTATTGCTTTGAAGCTCCACCAATATGTTCTCTCTCTTTGGCTGTACATCAGGAGCACCCGCTGCTGGGTCAGCCTTTCTTCATGCTCCACCCCTGCAGAACAGATGAGTTTATGAGGCCTGTGGTGCAGGCGGCTCAGAGCCAGCAGAGGTAAGATCGCCAAAACCCAATGGAAGGCTGCTGTTCCACATGAGGCAGTTTTATGCAGCTTAGCTGATTCCAGCTGGTGTTACACTGTGCATCACACCCTTCAGTTCATTGAAAGGTTCCATGCAACATACAGCATTTGCATTTTGTTGAAGATAGATTTGTAACTAGGCTGATGCAACACCATCAACATGCTAATATGACACTGTGCTGTTGTAAATCTTGCACCATCGATAGATTCCACAATCAAGAGACGTTTTGTAGTTGAATATTATCATTTACATGCTGATATTTGTTTGTATTTACTTCTGGTACTAATAAACTGTGTTTAATACAGGTTTACTCTGTTGTATTTGTTTGTTACTTATAATCAGTCTTGGGCAGTAACACGTCACTGTAATATTACTTTTCCCAGTAACTAGTAGTGTAAGGGATTTCTATTTCCAAAACAGTAATAACATTACAGTTACTAATCCAAGTAACGCTGCATTACTGCGTTACCTGAAGGCACCGACCTGTCATTTGAATGAGTGACTTTGCTGCAGGTCAGTTACACCAGGCCATATGTTGTTCAAGTCAGCTCTTAGCCAAAAAGCTAAAGGAAGAATTAGAGCACAACCGATATGGGATTTTTAAGTCCGATACCAATTTTGATGATTTTAAAACCAGATAGCTGATATATCGGCTGTAATTCTTTTTTCCCCTTATTTTAAGAAATGCATGGCATAAACAAAGATAATCCCTAACAGTTGAGACTTCACCAAGATACCATGACATAATGCAGTTTAAAAATAAACTTGTATTGTTAGAACAAAATATATTAAAGTTTTGATAAATAAGCATCAAATGTATAAAACTACAGAAAACATTTTTAAAATATGATTTATTAAATTACAGATTACTACTACTACTACTTATGAACAGTAGTTAATACAGTACTACTACTAAAAATAATACCACGTCATCTCTCAGATCATTGCTATCATAGTGATAAACGGCGCTCTCCTACATAGGCAAATAAAAAAAACAAAAATATATATATAGTCATGCAGTAGTTAATACCTTACGTATAATCTGCCACGATGACTACTTTCTACATGTAGTTTATTACCTGCACTCATTCTATCCAATGCCACAGAATCGATTTCCTAACAACCTTCTGGCGCTATGATACAGTGGCACAGAGCTGCAGTGACAACGAAAACTCCGAAAAAACATATGCATGCTGTGTTTACCTCTCAGGTGAAGTGAGTGGGTAAGGGGGGAGAGACTGATTTAAAAGCCGTCACTTTCATCAAGTGAAGCCCCGATATATCTTCATGTAGCTTATATCGGCTGATAATATCTGCAAAAGATAAATCGGCCGGGCTCTAGGAAGAATGGAGAATGAGAATGAAGAGAAGCGTTCTTTCCACAGCTGGAAGTATTGCCATTATTGTGTCAAAGTCAAGGATGCAAAGAACATTGTCGTCCGTTGTAAACTTTATGTAACCAGCAAAAAGCTCTCAACTGCGAGTAAAGTAACTAGTAACTAGTTACATTTAATACCCAGTAATAAGTATAGTAATATTACTACCTTTTTACTTCTACTGAGTAATGAGTAACTTTTTACAATTTCTGAGTAACTTGCCCAACACTGTCTGTAATACAAAATAAAGAAACATGCATGTCCTTCAGGACCGGGCAGGGAGTGGAGCTGCACATTCCGTGTTGTGAACTTTAGGAATGTACACTGCTCAAAAAAATAAAGGGAACACTTAAACAACACAATGTAACTCCAAGTCAATCACACTCCTGTGAAATCAAACTGTCCACTTAGGAAGCAACACTGATTGACAATCAATTTCACATGCTGTTGTGCAAATTGAATAGACAGGTAGAAATTATAGACAATTAGCAAGACCCCCCCAATACAGGAGTGGTTCTGCAGGTGGTGACCACAGACCACTTCTCAGTTCCTATGCTTCCTGGCTGATGTTTTGGTCACTTTTGAATGCTGGCGGTGCTTTCACTCTAGTGGTAGCATGAGACGGAGTCTACAACCCACACAAGTGGCTCAGGTAGTGCAGCTCATCCAGGATGGCACATCAATGCGAGCTGTGGCAAGAAGGTTTGCTGTGACTGTCAGCGTAGTGTCCAGAGCACGGAGGCGCTACCAGGAGACAGGCCAGTACATCAGGAGACGTGGAGGAGGCCATAGGAGGGCAACAACCCAGCAGCAGGACCGCTACCTCTGCCTTTGTGCAAGGAGGAGCAGGAGGAGCACTGCCAGAGCCCTGCAAAATGACCTCCAGCAGGCCACAAATGTGCATGTGTCTGCTCAAACGGTCAGAAACAGACTCCATGAGGGTGGTATGAGGGCCCGACGTCCACAGGTGGGGGTTGTGCTTACAGCCTAACACCGTGCAGAGAACACCAAGATTGGCAAATTCGCCACTGGCGCCCTGTGCTCTTCACAGATGAAAGCAGGTTCACACTGAGCACATGTGACAGACGTGACAGAGAAGTCTGGAGATGCCGTGGAGAACGTTCTGCTGCCAGCTACATCCTCCAGCATGACCGGTTTGGCGGTGGGTCAGTAATGGTGTGGGGTGGCATTTCTTTGGGGGGCCGCAAAGCCCTCCATGTGCTCGCCAGAGGTAGCCTGACTGCCATTAGGTACCGAGATGAGATCCTCAGACCCCTTGTGAGACCATGTGCTGGTGCGGTTGGCCCTGGGTTCCTCCTAATGCAAGACAATGCTAGTTCTCATGTGGCTGGAGTGTGTCAGCAGTTCCTGCAAGAGGAAGGCATTGATGCTATGGACCGGCCCGCCCGTTCCCCAGACCTGAATCCAATTGAGCACATCTGGGACATCATGTCTCGCTCCATCTACCAACACCACGTTGCACCACAGACTTTCCAGGAGTTGGTGATGCTTTAGTCCAGGTCTGGGAGGAGAACCCTCAGGAGACCATCCACCACCTCATCAGGAGCACGCCCAGGCGTTGTAGGGAGGTCATACAGGCACGTGGAGGCCGCACACACTACTGAGCCTCATTTTGACTTGTTTTAAGGACATTACATCAAAGTTGGATCGGCCTGTAGAGTGGTTTTCCACTTTGATTTTGAGTGTGACTCCAAATCCAGACCTCCATGGGTTGATAAATTTGATTTCCATTGATAATTTTTGTGTGATTTTGTTGTCAGCACATTCAACTATGTAAAGAAAGGAGTATTTAATGAGATTATTTCATTCATTCAGATCTAGGATGTGTTATTTTAGTGTTCCCTTTATTTTTTTGACTATTTTATTATATATATATATATAAATGTACTTTATTAGGTAAACAGCCTTTTGTTTTTGTTTTAACCAAGTTCATTTTTGGATGAAGGAAAGGGAAAGGAAGAAACCTTTTTGCTTTAATCTACAAGAGGACTGTGGATTAAACATAAGAAACACGTGCTGATTTAAGATTTACACTGGGCTAAGTTTTTGGTCCTACAGTTGCATTTCCATCGGGTCGAGGCAAATACACTTTCTACCTGAGCGCCTGGCCAGGTTCTTTTGTTCCAGCTCATATGAGACCACATTTCTTCCTTTCTGAAGCGAGACAATGACAGAGAGGTGCCAGTAACGGTGTGATTGACAGTTCTGGGGAAAGTTATACTGGGCTCATTTACAGACGGCCCTCTGCTGTCTAATGTCGGTATGTTTGAACCCAGGTTAGAGTTACTGTGCAATGTAAACAGTTGATAGTGTAATATTTCTCAGTCGGCTATATGTCACATAAAGTCTTTCTGGATCAAAAGGGAAAAACACCTCAAGTGAGAGTGAAACCTTTTTAGTGATAGGGTGGAAGTTTTGTTGAATTCTGTTGCTTCTGTCCAGCTTTTCTAGTTAAACCATTTGCATAAAAATGGAATGGACACATGGCTTTGTTTATATTAAATACCTATCTTGAACCACTTTCAGTTTACATTAGGTCTGCTGACACAACAGCTTTAGAACAAGCTAAAATAAAGTGTGTGCAGCAGAGCCAGAGGTGAAACTATTTTAAGAGGAACTGACACTCCTTTGCCAACAGGCCACATCATTTTGATGAGCAGCCATTGTATTGGGAAAAGCAATCATTTGTATGACAATTGATTGTCAACTAAACTGTCATGACTGTAACAGCCCTAGTTCATGTACTGTGTGTGTGTGTGTGGTGTGTGTCTTGGCAGGCCATTGAACTACGTGTTGTCGTGGCTCAGTGTGGTGGGCCCTGTGGTAGGTCTGGACGTCCCTCTGAAGTACTCCACTCAGGTCCGTCCTGCAGCCTCACTCAACAGCACCGAGCCAGACTGAAGCTGCACCGGCTCTTCTTCCCCCTCTGTCAGCATCACAATAGAGTCTGTCTTCATGGGGGCTGGATTATCAACCAGGCAAAGGGAGCAGCTGCCCCGGCACCACGGAGTCTCAAAGGTCTACAAACCTTAGTTGATTTAATTTCAACTTGGCAGTATGCTAAAGCACCATAAAGACTGAAATAGCAATAAGTAGATAGCCTCTGCATTTTGACCTTGAGGCCTTGAGGTCAACATACAGTATATGTACAGTATATTTGTAACTGGTACAAATTGACAATTGTTTGCAGTCAAAGTAAACTGGAAAGTTTACGCACAGATGTTGATTCAACAAAAAGTGTGACTAATAACATTGCTGCACTGTATCAGTAATGTCATTAGTTCCACCTGTGCTTTTCCTGCTACGAGTCAAAATGCCTGCTGGGAAACAAGTCTGTGAATCTGACAGCGACTAGTTAAACTAACAAGGTTCAGATTAGCAAGATTTGTTCAGTCAGCAAAACAACATAGACAGATGCAATACTGTATAACACCATGTGACTAAACTGTGGATACTTCTCATCGCTTTCACACAAAATCATGTCATGAACTTTTTTCTCACTCAAATTCAACTGCTCCCAAACCTCTGTTTGTTTACACTCCATTTTACACATGTTCACATAATGTTGTCAAAACCACTGAATTTACATTCAAAACCAAACATGTTCTGTATGTATGTATTTTTCCTTGCTAATTAGGGATGCGCCGACGGACAAATAGCAAAAAACGCACTTTCTGTGTTCGGCCTAATAAGTCAAAAGACCGAAGAAATTTTGCCGATCAATTACGTTGACATTTCGGCAGTGTGGAAGCATTTTAAAGTGTCTGAGAAAGACGCAAGAATTTCCGTTTGTTAGCACATCCACTCCATCTGTGGCTGACTTCTTAGAAAAGGCAACAAAGTCTTCTAGAAAGGCTATTAAGTCTTCATGTTGCGCGATACGAGAACCACATACAACATTATTTATCATATTGGGTCGGACTTGTGGATACACGTGACAACATCCGGTTTTCAAAATAAGACAGGATGTAAACAGTATGGAAATAAGATTAATTGGATCATATTCACAGAAAGTATAAAACATATTACATGTGTACAATAAAAGTAAATGGACACATGTAATTTACTTCACCGGACCCTCTCGGGCCTCGGATCCCCCCACCATAGTCTGGGAAACACTGAGGAGCACATTTTGACTATTTCATTTATGCAATGGTAAAAAAAAAAAAAAAGGGAAAATAAATGTAAGAAAATGTAAAAACCTTGTTCGGTATTCTGGAAAGTTTTTTGACTATATTCAATTTCAGCTTCGGCCAAGAATTTTCATTTCGGTGAATCCCTGTTGCCTATTATCATTTTCACTGTTCACTTCTGGAGGCTATGAATGTTACACTGCTATAATTATATTTGGAGCAGGATGAGTGCTGACGCTCCGTCTCACACCAGTTAATGACCAGCCAGCACTGGGGATAGGGTTTCCTATATGGCTATTAGGAGGTACTCCAGGTGTCCTTGGAACGTCCCAACACCAACTCTTTATCCCCATCCATAAAAAGAAAATAAAAATTGTAAAGCCATATATTTGATTTAGTAGATCTATTAAAGCCTGCACACACACCATGATTATTTTTATATTGTTGAGTTTGAATGACTTGCTTTATTGTGTAGTGAACCACCAGTGTCAATTAAATTATTTCAAAAAGGAAGAATCCAGAATCTCTTTTCTTGTCTCTCCCTGACAGAAAAGGGAGGGGTGCGATATCACGCCCCCAGACAGGTTGACTCCAGGCCAAATGAAAGGTTTGCTCCCCCCAAGTGCTGTTTGGGCAGTTTTGGCCACAAAACCTACCACCTCCGGTGAAGTTGAGATAACAGACTCTATGCATGACTGTTAAAATGATAATATTAACCTTGTCCAGAGACTAACTTCATCCTGAGCAAGGCTATCAGGACCTTTTCAGACCATGGTCAGGAAATTCTAAACTCCTGTCTGTACACTCCCCAGGATGAGCAAAAGGGCAGGGTAACTATGGTAACGGGGTTTCTCTTTTCAAATTACCTCAGACATCAAGGAACACTCTCACTATTCACACCCAGTTGTGAAACTGGTGAGGAAAGCCAGACGCCAGAGAAGGAACTGCCTCAAATTCCTTTGTGAACAAAGAAATGTTGCCTCATTATAAACCTGCCTTATTACCTTGTTTGAATAAAATAATCTTTGTTAAGTTACTTAGTGGCCTGCCACTATAATTTGAGTAGTTCTAATATCATGTTGTTGGAAAGAAGGAACCAATTCAATTCAATTCAGTTTTATTTATATAGCGCCAAATCACAACAACAGTTATCTCACAGCGCTTTTCATAAAGAGCAGGTCTAGACCGTACTCTGTGATGTTATTTACAGAAGCCCAACAGTTCCCACCAAGAGCAAGCACTAGGAGACAGAGGCAAGGAAAAACTTCCTTTTAAGAGGCAGAAACCTCGAGCAGAACCATGGCTCAGGGTGGGCGGCCATCTGCCTCCACCGGTTGGGGTGAAGGAGAGAGAGGGAGAGAGAGAGGGAGAGAGAGAGAGAGAGGGCAGGAGAGAAACAGAGAGAAAAAGAGAGGGATGGAAGGAGAGAGAGGGGAGGGAGGCAGCCTACACAATATCCACACAGAGGTACAGACAGTAAAGGTGATGTTGCTATAGACTAAATGAAAAATGGTACAGATATTTATAATAGTGTTAATGGTAACAGTCGTAATGTTAATGATTATAATAACAATAATAACAATAGGACTAGTAACAATAGTCGTTGCAGCAGAGGGTGTCGAGCAGCAACACGGGGGCAGCAGGTGACCCGCAACCACAGATCCAGACTCCACAGCTCCAGAGCCAGAAACACCTGCAGGAAGTGATAGGAGGAGAGAGGAGAGGGACGAGAAAGCACAAGACTACCGGAAAGGGGAGAAGTTGTGTTAGTAACATGCAATAATAAATAGGTTAATTTTGCGGTGCTCTTAATCTTCATCAATGCTCACTGGCATTCCTGCATTTAATTTATGGTTAACTAATGCTTTGTTCCAAGCCCTTTCATATACTTTCTTAGAAATGATATGGTACAGAAATATTATCATGAAACCAGGGTCACCCTAGAGGACAAAAAGAAGTATTACATGCCATTGTTCCTCTGCCTCTCCTTCTGCTTAATTTATATTACTGTCTGTTTTATTGTTTGTAATCTGATCTGATAACCCTGTCCTGTATTGAGCCATGTGCCTACACATCTTAGCCGCTATGATGCCTGACAGGAGCTTCCATGTTGTGCAGAGACAGGTTATTGGCCGGTAGTTGGATGGGATTGTTCCCTTCTGGGGATCCTTCATGAACATTACTGTCCATCCTTGGCTTGGGTTATCTATTCTGAGTGGGTCCCATCCATCAGCAGTTGGTATATATATATATATATATATATATATATATATATAGATATATATATATATATATAGATAGATATATAGATATATATATATATATATATATATAGATATATATATAGATATATATATATATAGATATATATATAGATATATATATAGATATAGATAGATATAGATATAGATATATATATATATATATATATATATATATATAGATATATATATATATATATATATATAGATATATATATATATATAGATATATATATATATATATATATAGATATATATAGATATATATATATAGATATATATATATAGATATAGATATATAGATATAGATAGATATAGATATAGATAGATATAGATAGATATAGATATAGATAGATATAGATAGATATATAGATATATATATAGATATATATATAGATATATATATAGATATATATAGATATATATATAGATATATATAGATATAGATAGATATATATATATAGATATAGATAGATATAGATAGATATATATATATATATAGATATATATATATATATATATATATATATAGATATAGATAGATATATATAGATAGATAGATAGATATAGATATGTATATAGATATATATTTCACTAGACCTCAAACTTGCAACCCTACTATGACAACAGGATGGCACCCAGCTTCCAGCTTTTGCTAGAAGCGGCGATGTGTAAGCTAACTGCTAAAAACGCCACAATGTCTCAGTTTGCGTTTTAAAAAAGTGTGTTGACTTACAGTAGGCTAGTTTATAAGCTGTTATAAATTGCATTGTACATTACATGGTTGTGCTCTGTAAGTGAAAAACAGGTTACAGTTACAGAATTCCTTATAGCTATGCAGTTTTATAAGCTGCCTGGTTTGAATGGAGCAGGTGATAAAACATTCACACACATCATAACCACGAGTGACTTGAGACTTGACTTGGACTCTGGCTTTGAGTCTTGACTTGGACTCTAGCTCAAAGACTTGAGACTTGACTTGGACTCAAAGACTTGTAAGCATCTCTGGTAGATACATTATAAAATGTCTGCATTTACTAAAAGGCCTTTTTCGTTAAATAAGTGTATTACGTTTATCATTGATATTTCATTGTAATGTGATTTGTATTGAGCAGACCTGTCAGTGGGATCTTTGTTGCTGACTTGTTGATGTGAGAGGTGACAAGGTTCAAGCTTTTTGTCCTGCCCTGATCCTCTGAATAGTGGCTAGAGTAAAGATTAAGAAATCGAAAGAAAACTTATTAGTGGCTTGCCACCATAAAATCCACTTTGCTTCCCTGTCCAGTGTTGGAGCCTCATGTTGTTCTCCCTAAAGGCCGGAAATTTCCCAAGGAAATCACTTCCATCAGAACATCAGTTGTGCTTATAATTTGAGAATTGCTTTTAACTAATATCATATTCAGAACAGCAGAAAGGAGTATGGTTTTTATGAAACATTATGTTTCTTAACACCACCAGCTGAAATAAAAAAATAAAGAAAGCAAATGCCGACTTTTGAACTACTGTTTTTCTGCATATGTATTTGTAAGAGCAGTGTTCACAATTTTTACAAATTGTTATGTTGCTTAATGCCA